TTAGTGTTACCCGAAGTAACCGGGTTTTGCCGTAGTGCAATGCGTTTGGGTGACGCGAAATTTTTTAATGTCGTGGTATTAGCATGGACACCGAAAGACGTACAAATGGAACCCCACTGATTTCGATCGTCCGTCAACCTACCCTTAATTGTATTGGATTTGGATACTGTGACTTTAGTGCACACAAGGTTTGGGGCACGATGGTTGCGCCTGGTGGCTACTGGTTTTAGATTTGAAGCCTTAGTTCCCGGTGCTTTTGGTGAATTTGTGAACGGCACTGATGGGTGCCATCCGTGCTGCGACACTTTTGTTTTCTCTAGTCCGGGCACAAAGGTTACCGGTGCTCTTTCCTGTGTTTGCTTGGCGGCAACCAATGCGTACGTTGCCGGGTTGTTCACTATGGCTGGTTGACTGTAGCTTACGGTCTCGTGTGTAGCGAACAGACTACTAGGTGCAGCACACTGTACAGAAGTTGAGGCAGGCGCGCTGCAGGCAATGTTTTTACTTATAGGAAGGAGAGAGAATGGAGTTGATACTGCTGGAGGCTGAGTCGTTGGGTTTCGGTTGGGACGTCTGGCTCGCTTCTTCGGGCTGACTAGGGAATTCGGGATGTTATGATCACTCACAATTGCAGGTCCGTTTCCTCCCATGCGTGTAACTCTGGCGTGTACCAGTTGCTCGACCGTTTATGTTAGTCTTTCATACCTCTTCAGTACCATAGCTAGACAGCTAACAAATGGGATAGAATTGCATACTTGGCAGAACCAAAACGCCTCTGCCGTGTTAGTGTACCGTTGCGTCGGTCCCGTCCCAAGGCAGGTAGTGTGATAGGATTTCAAACACATGGTACACACCAGACCATTTTTTAACACTTTAGCACATGATTCGCATTTGCTCTTCATACGAGACATCTTCACATGTTCATTGCTACGTAGAGGAAGTGAAAAGTACTATTTACCTCTACTTCGGAGGTAAACTTCAGCGCTTCGTGCGTCTGATTGCATTTATTAGTAAGATCCTCGATGATTTGAGAGAAATGAAGCAGTACAATGATATCGTCGAGGTAATAGTGGTAACGACTGAGGTTCGTGATGACCGATCTTAACTTGCCCCGTTCGAGCATACCCATGAACACATCAGCGAGAAACGGTCCAAGTAGAGAGCCCATAGCAACTGCATCGTGCTGTCGATACAGTGCACCGTTAATCCGAAACTGGATGTTGAAAATGCTCGGAAGCAGCAGTTCCTTTAGGGCCACAGTAGCTACGCTAATAGCCACCTGGTTTTCTTCTGCATAATCAGATGTGATTTATAGTTTCAAACAAAAATGAAGTAACATCGAGAGAGCACACGGTCAGATCCATGACATTTAGATCGCGCAAGGTTTCCACAATATCCACACTGTTCCTAAGGCTGTGAGCAACAACTCGTATTCGAATAGGTTCTCTAAGCTCGACCAAGCACCACGCAATAGAGTAGTACGTTGAGTTCTTCATCTCTAAGACTGGTCGTAGGTGGACATCAAGCTCATGTGTTTTATTAAGACCATACAGTCTAGGACTTTTGGTGCCTGTGTAGCGTAGATGTCAGATATTCTCACTGACCAAAGCGCACATTCCTAGGGAGTCGATTATTGGCCTCGGCTCACCCTTTTAACGGCATGCGTCGTATCTTTGGGCATATAAGTTCCGCATAGGTGCGATCTTTTACTTTAGTTAGGTTAAAATTAATTCCTATCAAGTACCTTACCAACCCAACGTTTCAAGCACATGACGCTAAGTTGAGGGGAATATGTTCTTGAAATGCATTTACAGTGAGAAGTTGTATAGCCGGCGTGTAAAAAGTGATGTCGGTTCGCTTTTAGAGGCGAATTCTCAGCTCCAGATAGGTTGCGGAACACATCCAAGAATTCACTGACGACAGTCGAGTATCCTGTGATCTGTGTATAACTTGCTGGTTTTACTCTGTAAAGGGTAGGTAGTGACACGTCTCATCATTTTGAAAATTACATGCACATGATTCACAACTTGTGGATAACCTTGCCTTGATAATATGGGCACTCGAATTCGGAGATTCATGAAGTTTTCATTCTGCCGTCCCGATTGAGAAAAGCAACCTTAATCCTTCACGGAGTGATTCAAGATGATGAAATTGAACACAGTCAACATCTACCCTGAACTCAGTCGGCATTTGAAACAGAACTACAGACGACGTTGTGAGACAGTTTGAATGTTGGCCGTCAATATAGGGAGTCGTTTGTTACTGTTGCATTCTACAGAGGAAGAGTGACTCCACCATATAAATACATTCGTATAGTAGGACGAGATGGCCAGGTAGATATGGCCATATTACCTGGTGACCAAACTTAGGAGAATGAATAGTTGAAAAGCAGTTACCTCAATGAGGTTTGTCTCAGTCAAATTCAATCCGACAGTAAGCGCACCCCCGAAAGTTGCCAAACAACCTTTCTTCCAGTTTGGGACCCATCACTAACACACACCTTAAATGCTTATGCATATCAAACCCCGACCTGTGATGGCCTATGCAAGCTGTAATACGGTGCGGATTTATTTGGTGAAGCAAGCGGCTAGCTTGCCGCAAGCGAACGATTCGTATGATAAGAAAACTGCACAGCTTCGCCCATACGCTGATTGGTTTGTATTTGGCAGCGCTGGAGTGTGCTTATCCGGTTCCAAAAATACGACATGGATCTTGTGTATACGGCGCGGACGCAGAAGTTCATCGCAGACGCCCTGTCGAGAGCTCAACTTCCCATAGTCGAACACCAGCAAGATGAAATCGAGGCAGTAAACCTCGTACTGCATCTAGCGGTAACGACAGATCGCCGGAAAGTAATAAGGCGTACTACGGAGGCAGACACGATTTGCAAGGCGTTGAGAGACGTGATTTTGAGTAGACGGCCAGACACAAAGACCAAACTTTCGAAGAAAGTAACGCTATTCTTCAACTTTCAAACTGACCTCACTGTGTATAACAGTTTGTTGTTCAAAGGAAACCGCGTTTTGATCCCACCGTCGCTTCGCAAATAGATGTTAGAACATCCTCATCGAGCATATTTGCGTGTTAACTACAGCATTAGCAGAGCACGCGAACTGATGTTCTGGCCCGAGATAACGAGTCAAATCTGAAATCTAGTATGAATCTGTTCAGCCTGCCGGTCCCGCGAAACTCGCCAAGCCAGACAACCAATGATACTGCGTAAGATTCCAGATCGGCCATGGAGGAAAATAGTAGTTGATTTGTTCTGTGATAACAGGAAAGAATACTTAGTTACAGTGGATTATTACAGTGACTATTTCGATATCGATTCACTCACCGCTACCCCCACGGAAGCAGACATCAATGAGCTTAGATGTCAGTTTGCCAGACGCGGAATGCCGGAGGAACTGATCTCTGACAATGGCCCGCAATTTACAAGTGCTGCGTTCCAAAGCTTTGCAAACAAGTGGGAATTTTCGCATCGACAGACCAACCCGTATTACAGCCAATTCAACGGAAATGCGAAGGCGGCGGTCAAACAAGTCAAGGAGCTCTTGTCGAAGGCTGGAACCACGCAAGAGTATCTTTATCTGATGCTGTTGGAAATTCACACCACGCCAGTACCGCACATCGGTCACAGTCGAGTTCAACGTCAGAAGGAAAAGATCCCTAATGTCTGCATGGGCTGCACTTTTACACCCGATCTTGCAGTCGCATGAGCGACTGAGGCAGCTGAGGCGACACCAGGAACGAGGAGGTGAACCTGAAGCTAGGTGCACGACGCTTTTCTTTGAGATCATAGCGACAACGGCAGCGGAGACCACGCGGAGTGGAAAGTGTACGAAGTCTTCAGTCACCTCGATGTGGCTGCTCACGAAAAAGGGAAGTATGTGATTGGATTATGCAAGCAGAAGAACGGTATGGATCTACATAACGTAGCAAGCGGTTAGCTTGCTGCAAGCGAACGAAGCAGCTGATTGGATGCCTACGCATATTTGCTGATGCGCTGATTGGTACGTATGTGGTGGCGCTGGATTGAGTTTGTTTGACTGCTTCCAAGAAAGTAGCTCACGTATCTCATGGATGTGACCTAGTTATTTACCTCGAAGCTTCTACAACCTAATAATGTTGTTATTTTCGCGCAGTCTGCTTTGTCGAATAAACTGTTTGTCCTTGTACGACCGAGTACTGCGACACGACCAACCAAGCCCCTGAGCAATGGGTGACGAAACGAACGGCTGAGACTGAGTATGAGCTACGAAATGGCATGGTTCATCCTTGTAACCCGTGCACGCTACCACCGTGCAATTAACACTGCCGGACCACAAAGCTACGACCTCCTTCGCTAGGGATATGGCAGTCTTATGGCAGTATAAGCTGGCTTCGGGGTCCGGTGTCTCGTTTAACGTTTGGTGGATAACCGATTGAAGACGACTGCGGAGAATACCCTCAAAATACGCTAACCCACTAGACACTTTCTATAAGAATTCAGTAATCAAGTTAAAAAGAGGCGAATTTAGTGACCCATTTAACCAGTAAATGTAGCGCATTCTTAGAAAACGAAAAACCCATTGGAAAGGAATCCGGAGGTTTGCAAACCGATATTGGGACATTTGATTTCAGTTTTTAGTTCCGTGCGGTGAAAGATGATGCCTTGCTGGTGATACAGTGTGTACTCGGAGTTTCCTGTCTGCCGCCAAGTAGGATTGGCCGCCACAGAGAATTAAGTGCTTGTGAGCTTCCAGCAACCAACGTTAATCGAAGGACTGGTATGAATGAACCAACTGATAATTTAACCCTTAGCGGTACCATGAACTCTTCGCAAATGTCGGCCAACTTATCTCGATGTGAGGAGCTCAAGTGAAGGTCCACGGGTTACAGAAGGCAGTAGCAGCATCGAATGTGCGATGCAGAGGTCGGCGAAAGCAAAGTGGGCAGGTTTCTCTTGGGAGTGGGGATAGCTATCACAATGCAAACCAATAAGGGACAGTTTTGCTTACCTTCACTTAGACAGTACTTGTAAACTACGAATGATATTCTCGGAATTTTTCGTAGGCCTTCGAATTCTCGCTGAATATCCAGTTGAACGCGAAACGGAGCGATCCCCGTGGCTTTGCCGGTGCAAGGTAAAGTGATCCGCACGTCTGCAGATAACGAGAGAGAAAGAAAGTGTGTAGCTTGTCTGTATTAAATAACGAATTGGTAAATACGTGGGTGAAATCCACAACATGATGCGAAAATTAGTGGTCCGGGATAAATATTCAAGACGTGAACGAATAGCGAATATCAAATCACTCTCATGACTACCTGGGTCTACGGCATACCATCTACATATTGGGAACTTTGACTATACATTGACTTTCGTCTAATAGCACAAACTTCCAACATACATCACCACGGGTAACTAGTTAAATTTAAAACTATGTAGCACGTTATAAGGCATGCAGCTATTTTATCACCATCTTATACAATACTTAGGTTAACTCCGTAACTATCCCCGAAGGAGCCATCATGCTAGAACATGCTGACGGCGGAACCATCAGATTAAATTATCCAACGTTAGCTCTCCAACTAAGCTGCGAAGCTGTTTAGACGAATTAGTAAAGTGCTAGAAATCCCACTGCTTCATACTGGATGGATTCAAGTGAAATTGTTTCGGCGCGGAAGGTAACGAGCACACGGAAGACTTGAATGCTACAACAAGGAGCAAGGATAGAAATAGGCACAGGCATAATGGACGAGATCAGGCGGTGCCACTCAGGCTCCACAGAACGAGAGGAGAGCGGTTCGCGATTGACGAACAGTAGTGGGCCTTAGCCAAGGAGAACAGAAGATATATGCGTCGAAAGGCCAATGAATCAGACAGGGACGCGTTTTCCGATGCATCCAAGAGTAACTGCAGCACAGTAGTAAAACCGGAATCAAATAAATCCAAGATGCTTAGAACAACTTCAAGTTTGTCAGAATTTGATTTACGAAAGCGAAGATACGGGGTCACACAGTCAGCCAAGACTCACGAAGTTGGGACGAATTTGCCAAGTAGTAAGTTCCCATATATGGTGCGTTGCGGGATTGAAGCATGACCGATATATGCTTGCGTGCGTGACAGTTTAGGCTTAACCTTTGTCGCATGCAATGATGCAGATACCTTCTTACCGCTTCGATTATGCTACGCAATGGCTATCTGTTTTCACTTAACAAAGCAGCTCATTGCTATAAAACTGTCGCCAGCTGTCCCTAACTTCAGATCGATGGTGAAAGCTTGAGCTTCTCAATGTCAGCAAATTATCTTGGAGTCACATTGAGCTGTGATTTATTGTGCTCGCTCCAGGTGAATGAAGCATTCACTAAGGTCAGTCGACTGTTATTTTACGTCGCTCTATTTCGATAACCCTCTGTACCATGCAAGTTGATTCTGAACTTCATCACTGTGTGCATTCTGGCACATTGGACTTATTGCTCTACTGTGCTTTGTTCAGGCTTATCGCGCGCGCATTTAAAGCCGCATGAAAGGTCGCCAATGCAATTGTCTCGATGCAAAGCATTCCAACGCCAAATTTGGTTCAAACAAGTATCTACCCATGTTAAGTTCGGCATAATACTTGCTTCAAAAATACTTGCCCATATCCGTCACACTCTGCATCGTTCACTATCTAAGCATCTATCCAAATCATCGATCAGACGAAAGTATAGGACATTATATGCCCGCAGGAAGGCCTATGATTCGTCAGGCATACCCAGTCTAGTCAGATTTCTGCTTGCTCAGAAGCATATTATCCTAGAAATAACCAGGAAATTTTACCAGAGGTTATTCGCTGAAATTTAATTTTGCCGCTGTTTTACCATTCAATAGTTCAATAGTGTATGATGGGGCAAAAAGCATAATTGTACAACACCAACAGGATGGATTTGCAAAAGAACATTAAAATCAGTAATGTTCCATCGTGGAACTTGAATAATCAGTGGTTAAGCCATTGCACTTTAGCAAGCTGTTGTGTAGCGTTTACCACTAAGATGAAAGTCTAATAGTCTATCGAATGTCATGCTGTATGTTGCGTCCACCACATTTGTTGGTATTGCATTCCGCTGAGAACATATTCAAAGTGAGTAAAAATACTTTCTACAATTCAAAGGGAGTGTTGCGTCATTAGTTTCAGGTGGTAGCCCCGGCATTGGCTAGGGTCAGCAGTGATGTACATGGGTGCTCGCGCTCAGTTAGTATTCGGTATATGAAAATGAGATCGCGAAGCCGTCTGTATTCTGAGGAGAACACATCCAGTAAACGAAGGTGCAGTTGGTAACTGAGACCGGATAGTCCACGCGTTGTCTTTGTGGCTCTTCGTTGGGGTAGCTCCAAAAGGCGAATGTCCCGTCTTAACCATAGACACCAGGCCTGCATTGCATATTCAGCGTGAAGACGGAAATACGAAATGATGTGGAATATTGGTAGCTCGGGAGGCTTGCTCAGTTGTTGTGGAGTTCCCCGAGCTGGGCAACTTGGTTGCAAACGTTTCGCCACCATTCGAGGTGGCATCTTCAGTGCGGGATTGATAGCAGTAAAGTAGTAGTAGCTGGTAGAAAGCAAACCCAATAATGGATGCTGTCAGCAGCCACTCCGTTCCTTATATAGGAATACGTGGCTATCAATCTTGCACTAGGATACCTAAGTCGCGTTCGCCAGTCACGTGTTGCAGTACGTGTCGGCCCAAAAGATATGTGTTGATGAAGCTGCTACGCACCGTCAACAGGTGGTACTTTACAGGGTTCAGTGGGAGCTGGTTCCTTTCTGCCCATTTGTTAATCCGAGCCAGATCGCCTTGAAGATAGACACAGTCGGATGCTGAGCGAATTGCTCTCCGCATTTTAGCATCGTCTGCATATATATTCGTATCGGGGATAGAATGTTTGCTGGAAGGTCATTGATGCAGACTACAAACATAGTGGACCGAGGACAGATCCTTGCGGTTCACCACTGGATACGCACAGGCTTTCAGAGTGAGTGTCGGCTACTCTTACTTTGATTGCTCTGTTGTGTAAGTAGTCTTCCAACCAAGTGAGCGGGGAACCGTTGATACTGTAGGCAGCAACCTCTTTGAGGAGAACGAAGTGATTGACCCCGTTGAATGTTTTAGCAAAATCTAAGTAAATCACATCTATGGGGACTGCTTCATCAGCCGCCGTGGTCCATGAATCCCGGGCATGGAGCAGATTGGTGATGCAATGTTGTCGTCTGAAACCATGTTGGACATTGGAAATTATTTGCAGACTTTCAAAATATCGCGTCGACTCATCTGGATTGCCGATTCCAATAGTTTTAATAAAACAGATAGAAGAGTAATGGGTCGGTACTTGGCAGGATCCGGTCGCCTACTTCCTATGTATATCGGAGTGATAATTCCACGTTTCCACACAGATGACAGTGTATGGGAGTCAAACAAACCCTTTAAAAGACTGCAAGATGTAATGCTATGGTGGGGTAAGTTTTAAGTACCTTTGCGCAATTCTTGTCCTTTCCCGAAACACTGTTTGCCCGAAGAGACTGTAATTTGTGCACGACAGCCTCTGTGGTAAAGATGACACGGGATAAGCCGACGACATTGGTTGAGAGTTGATAGAGCAAAGGTTCCAAGTTATTTGTAGCCACCGAGACAAACTGCAAGAGCAGAGCGTTCGCGGTTTCCACAACAATAACCGCTAAGCCACTGGCCGTCTTGAGTGGTGCTATGCCAGGTTTAACCTTTCCTTTGTCGTTCTCTTACTCGTATAGCAGGTTGTCGTCACTCGCAAACTTGAGCACCGTGGTTGCCTGTCATTCATACTTGTCTGCTCTAAATAGCGTTCTTACGCTGGTCCTCAATACCCGACGTGGGCCAAAAGGCAAAGTTATTGTCTCAGAGATAGGTCACGGACTCAGGCTTCCTTTTGGGGGAAAAGAATACGCAGAGCTGATACTACAGACTGAATGTTATATTAATAATGACCACCTGACTTAGGCTAATATACACTCGATATAAACGAAGTGCAAAGAATCAGCTTAAAAATAAATTTTAAGAAAAATGTGTGGCCCTGGAAAGTACAAACAAGATGCAGTGAAAGTTGCAAAGAATGTTGCTTCAAATTGCAAATATAAACCAGTTTTATCTAACATGCACTCAGTAGCTGATTTACATGCATCCAACTGGATAACAACATGGTACTAGTGTCGCCACATGCAAATCAAATTTGCGGCAGTCAAAGTGCATTACAAGAAGCGGATGGGGTTGTAGGCCGCTCTCGTACACACAGTGGGCTCGATTGCTATTCATGTCTACCGAGGTAGCTAACTGCCTAACTTGATAGCAGGTTTAACAGTGATGGGCTTGTTATGGACGAAATCTGTTAGCTTGTTTCGTAGACCGACTGAGAAGCAATGCGTTGAAATGAAGTCAGCAATACCGTTGTCTAGATCAGTTCTGTGATTTCCAGTGGTCATATTGATGTCTTTTGTTATGATATCTGAGCATGTAGTGTTGGTAGCACTGCTCTTTCCCTTATAAACCCCTTTTTTAATTTTCACAGCCTCAAGATAACATGCATTGAGCAGCAAGATCAGTCACTTGTCTGTAATTACACAAAAGTCATCAGTATATCAGTATATCCAAAAATCCCTCTTATCTATCGTGAAGTTGGCTCGTGCTAGTGTGTCAGTCTTAAGCTCCATGTAACTTTCCAGGATTTCAGCTCCAACACCGCAGGGATGAACATCAAATGGGTCCAAAATCTAAATCTGGATTTCCATATCAATCTGCTCATGAAACCTGTCTTTAATTTATTTTCGGAGTTCTTGCATATGCGTGGCAGAAAGAATCAATTGGGAACTGTGAAAATTCCCGACGTCCGATGTTCTGAGCATATACTTCCAGCTTCGTAAAAAATGCAATTATTGCATGTTTGCTCGAGATGAAGTTACTCAACTTGCCTTGAAGTGTTTTATTCAATAAGTGGAGTTTTCGAAATCATCAGCCAGATAAAACACATCTGGCTTAGTTGTACACAGTTTTCTTTCATAATCAGTTTCAGAAAGGAATGTTATGCTGGTGTCCCAGAGTGCAACAAAATGACGAATACAGTTATTCGTGGTGTGCCAACTAACCTCTATATGTAAACGTAGAACATGGAAATCACTGTTCTCCTCACACAACAGCTGATAAAGACGATATTGAAAAGGGTGCGGATTGATATTTTAACTATTATTATAAATGTTGACAGTGGATCTTTTAAGCGCCCTTCCACTTGCTTAGCCACTAGGTGCTCTCGGTGAATCACACAGTGAATTGTATGAACAGAACGGAGAACATTTTTTTACACAAGCAATGAATCCTTTATATCTCCTGACCATTCAGGTAGCACCACCTGTTGCACTTGCTACTTTGTTTTGCATTGTAGTGGAGTTTTCAGGCAGATAGCCATTGACTACCTCGCATATACACTGGCTCTTTGTATGAGTTTGATATATCCTGGCAAGCAGCATCTCTTAAATTAATACACTATCATTTAAGAATCGAATATATGCTGCGAGAAGAGCATCGTTATCAGATAAAGTAGATCCGTCTGTTGGTGACGAAAAGTTTCTGGACTGTAGTAAGTTAACTAAGGTACTTTGTATGTCCTGAGCCGTCTCATCTATTCGCTTGGATACAATTGAGTTGCAAGCAGAATGGCTTAAACCGCTACTTGTGGATTCATATTCATCAGGTCAGACAGTAATATTGATACTGAAAGCAAGATAAAATAGTATTTTCTCCAACAGTATGTGGACTGCAATTTTTGGCACTGGATTTGCTGATTTTATAAAGTGCCGTAACTTCATTTGCCGTCTTTTCCCTGTCAACAATTATTGCCTTTAAAGGTAGTTTGCTTTCGAACTTATCCCGCAGCTTTCTAAAAAAAATCCAATGACTTTTCTCTTCTGTCCTTATCGACTCCATCCAAATGATTTTTCAGTTTACGTGGTCGCATACTTTCAGTTGAAAGTATTTTGGCAAATTAAACACATATGTAGAGTGGGGTTTTGAGGTGATGCGATGAATCCAAATGAAAGTTATTCAGCGGAGTACCGCCAAAACTTCTTCGTCTCCGAGAAGAGCATTTCCCAAATATGCCATTGTAAAATGTTGATATGTAATCTACGTATACTGCATTTGTTTTAAGATTCTTACGCAGCTATAGAATGCGCGTTAAATAACATCATTCGACCAGGCGAAACACGAAAGGTAGTCTGAATACTTGTCGGGACTAAATTTCTTCGTGCTTGACCGTGGGATTATAAGAAAAGACGTTTGGCAAACATACTTGTACCATCTGTTGGTGGATACGTTAAAATGTATAACTGTAGAAACACCTTTAGCGACCACTCAAAGGCGCTTTCTGAGGATGGTTTTGAAAGTATCGTGGATGGGTAAAATGACAGAAGAAACCTTAGTGATAAAAGCCAGTGATGGAAAACAACTGAAACTCAGAAAATGACAATACTTACTAGATAAACCTACATTAGGAAAGTTGTAGCAAACTGTGGTAACAGGTACAGTGAAGGACAGTAGAGGCAATCACGGAAGAAAATGCCGGATTGTTCGAGAAACCGGCATGGGAGAGTCAACGACGAAGCGATTAACATCCATCACCTATTGCCAGACATGGCGCCAAATGCGTGCTGGCAAGGCATTTGATTACTGTGTCCTTATGTACGCATTATGTTACATCTACTCACCAAAGCAACCGGATGTCCTCACGTAAGATAATGTCCGCGCGAGCAGAGTAGCCACTCGAATTCGGAAACTTGTGGGCTAACGTGGCAGTCGCAAGGCGTACACGTACACGGTAGTATTCACCATTTTAAATGTCAGTTAAGTGTGTTTTCGCACCAATACTTTTATAAAACGCCATCCTTATAACCATTAGAAATATATACCGATGTAACACTACCAGCTGAGACTGGAGACGAAAAGCGCGTGACGCAGCGCTACCGCATTGAGACTCGAAAGAGGAAAACTGACTGGCACATGAGTTGTCACACAGTGGTGTTGTCCCGAGTTATTGTCAGTGTGGTTTTGTGCGGTAACGGCCGCAGTGTACCGACGAGATTTTGCTAGGTTCACTGCAGTTTGCACAATAGATGCAGCAGTGTTGTGAGTAAAGCTCAGTTGGTTCATTGGGGATAGGCTTCAAAGTGCTGAGGATGAATTGGGTGTTAGTTGCACAGTCTAAGTCGCCTTGTGGTAATTGTATGTTTAAGGTGAGCTTGGCGAAATCTGCGCAAGTATGGCTGAGCTATGCCAGCTCCGCAATAGAGAGTCGGCTCAGCAGACTTACACACCTTCGCAAACAAGCACGTGCGTGCGCGTGTAATTCCTTTTACTGACCTGTAGTTACCAGTGAGGATTAGTGCGCGGAGAAAATCTAGTAGCAAATTGGTTTTAAATGAATTTTGTTATTTTTATTTGCACAACCCACGTTTCATAACACGGCCTCCCATGGCCCCCTAAAATATTTCTCATCCCAGCCCCCCGGGAATTCCATATGGCCACGTTGAAAATGGCTGGTCTAGACTGCTGATAAACTAACTACTCCCTTCGAGACTGTGAACCCTGGAATGCTGTTCCAAACTTACACCATTTTAAAAAAATGCTTTGATGTCGCACCCTTATGCGAACGGATACTCCGGAATGTACTTCGGCTAACTTGCATATTTGAAATTATGATTCACACTAAGGCACATGAATCAGCGCAGACAGTTGAGCAATCGGAATCTCCTTTACAATAGGTATTAACCATAGTAATATGTTATTCCGAGTTGCTTCGTACTATCTTATTTACACAACCCTACTTCTACTGTGCGACTACCCTGCCGCTACCTCAACCACCATTTTATTTTTCCACTTGTTTTATCCTCGAATTTGGAATTTCTCCTCACCAGCTCAAGAATTCGGTTAAATACAGGTTTTTTAATCCGTTACAAACTATAGTTTCACTGTATTTCCCTAGAGAGAAAGGTGCGTATAGAGTGTTCTAGTGAAGTCTACTGCTCTTATCTGCAGTGTGGCGACTTCGTTGGTCTGATGGTATTTGGCACATCCAGAGCAAGAGGCATGGTAGTTTAGCAATCATCCCTGAATTCGTTCTGCAGCAGCAGATCATTTAAGACGCGCCTCTCAGATATCGGGATAAGTTAGATCGCGGGAACAGCATACGTGACTGAATGAGCTGCAGTGATTTTTGTATGCTCTAAATATATTCGAATAGGTGGAGGGTTTCGCTATTGATCACTTCGAAACTGCACTCTGAAACCCGACAATCATATTCAGCGGCAGTTTAACGAGGATGGCAGTGTCATATTTGTCTAACCTAGGATGCACGAGCTTCGAAACAGGCAACCATTGACTTGTATTCCAACGAAAAATAATGAAAATGGTGATTAGACTGACGGCGGTTAGTTCGTTTGGCTTTTTAAGTTAGGGTCAAAGAGATCCGGTGTCCAGCTAAAGACCATATCCACGAGATCAAGTGGTAAGGTATGCCAATTCAACTAAGAGGAAGGTGAGCTAACGTAATGATCGCTTAAATCGTATACTCAGGTTTGTTTCAATAAATAAATAAATTGTATATTCCTCGACGATGCGAGAAGCTGTTCTCTATAAGGAACAGATCAATTAATGGTACAACGTTTCCATGACATTTCATCAATACATTTTCAGAGATAAACATGGACGCAATTGCAAATTATGTTACACAGAGTAATCAGAATCGTTCTGCTATTTTTACCTGTCATTGAATCAAGATGCTTCACAATCACATGACAGATATTTGGGCCGAAAGAAAAAAAATGTAGTGAAAGGGGCTGTTGTCCGAAATGTTATGTGTATGTGTTTCAGAAATCTATTCAGACACCATGGATACCGTTTTCGAATGCGTTATCTAGGGACTGTGATGTCCCGAACATCTTAATCACGTTTTGGACGGTTAAATGCTTACTAATAGCAAGCTTAAAATTGCAAAGAGTGTAGCATGTTCTGATATCACTTGGAAGTTTGTTCCAAATCTTTGAGTATTGGGTTAGAAAGAAACTTTCTCTGATTCTCGTAGTAAATTTTGGAATCATGACCATTACCTCTTTGTTACGTATTGGGTATCTGCTGTTTACAGATATGTGAACACCGCTTTCAGGACTGCGAATTCGACAATTTATGATTCTGTAAAGCAAACTTAGGTTCAGCTTCATTATCCGAAGCCAAACTGGAAATCTCACTTAACGTATAAAATGTCATGAAGATAGGCAAGTCGGTTTAGTGAGCTGCAGACAATAAATAACTGTAATTCATCCCCCACGCAACGTTACCGGTTATTCAGTGCAATATTAACGGAGACGATCAGTAAACATGTACTGGAGCTGTTGCTCCCTTGAAAGGGATGCGGCGTTTTGAATATGCATCTTACCAGATTCCGACGCAGGCACGTATCCTGATGTGGCAATGTTCAGCAATGGTTTGTGTAGCAGAGTCTGATTCAAAGACAACAACTCGATGTTGTAGGTGAGCTTGAAGAGTGGAGAAAGGAGAATGAGATGAAATTAACAATGAGGCAGCCGAGTCCCTTCTGGGAATTGTGGTTAGCAGAGCACCCAAAATTAAGGCGGGAAGATATTCGTTTTTTGGAATGGTGCTACTCTGTTGTATTTGGAGGATGATACAAAAATTCATTTGGCGTAGCGAGCAACTCGTGATCTTTGATTACGGAAACCGCGGCTCAAACAAAATCATTCTTACGTTAGTACTCACTAACCGCGCAATCTACGAACAGTTCCCGCATCCATAGTTCGGTTATGTAAAGGTAGTTAGCACCAGAAAGCAGAGTCTGTTTCAGTGTCAGAAACAATGTTCCATGAGCTAGAGCAATGGAGTTATCATGGATATCATTAGTGGATAACTGACACTGCGACTCACTACTGGTGCCGTTCAATGGAACAAAAACATGAGTTATCGAATACTTCACAGTGAATATTAAACAGGCGATAAACAGACGCTCCGGAAAACAGTAGATCACTGGGTTACTCTATCAAGACGCGTTAGCAGTGCGAACCCACCTACGAACCATATAGGTAGTAAAGTGGCGGTTTCCACTTCGCGAAACAGCCTTCATTTTCACCAGGCTGATATTCAGTGGATTGGAATGGTGGACAAGAATTTGCGTGTATTCTTGAAACGTACAGCATACGCCCAATTTGTTTCCAATGGGACGATGGTCGGCATCTGCTGATAGTCGCACACCGCCTGTAGTAAGGTTTGCGGACACCTGAAGTCACCCCACATCTACCGAATGCAGCACAGTTGGTTGAATGCGGTGGGCAATCTGATGAATGCCTTCAATCGGTTTTGGCCCCCTGGTCTGTACAACTCACCTGGATACTTTCTCTTTGCTCAGGTAGACAGATATGTTGAGTAGATGAGGTAGTTCAGGATCAAAGCACCCTAACAGACTGCATCAGTTGTCTCTGTGCGAAGACGATTCACCCTTATCGTTTACGCTTCACTAATGACCAACGGTTTCCGTGTTCCCTTGTGCACTAAGTTTGAGTGAATTCATCGTGTCGACAAGGTAACGAGTTGATACAAGGTGCTTGGTGATGGACGAACTGAGCTCCCGCTTCATCTGTTGGCTAACTCAATCTCGTTACCGCAGCGACCGCTTTGACCACCGTAGGAAGATTTCAGTCATCTATTTTAGCATGCCGACGGTCATTTTGCATTTATGGGTGCCATTGTAGAACAGTTTAACTTACAGATAACGTGAAACGCAATACTCGGATATTTCTAGTGAAAAATTCTTCATGTGGTTTGAAAATCAGCAGTTGAACGGTCCTGCAGATACGCTATAGGGTGGACCCGTTGCAGGTCATGGTTAGATGCACATACTTTCTTATTACTGGTAGCGTTTCCAACTTCATCTTTGCGGTCTACTGCGGACTTGGATGAATTACTCCGTACATCAATTGGATAGCAGTGTCTTATGCAAGAACTCTTCATTTACTTATAGCGGCTCCGAATTCCAAGTCCTCCTGACTCTGTAGTACAGTGTATTTACGAACTCGCGTTCTTACCCAGTCGGCACGAGGTAGAGTTGATGAAGGTATTGCCCGCCCCGGTCACTTTGCAAAGGTGCCCCGAACCGTATCATCGGCCCGTTTTCTAGTGATCAAGCCAAAATGATGTGTTGTTCTTTTTCTCTGCATCGTGTGATAAAGGTGCTAGGATGAGTGGAGTCCAGCAGGGTGAACAGGCGGTCGATAGGTTTGATGTCGGTGCAGATTAGAATGTCATCTACATAACATAAGTACAGTTACCATCGCTTGTGATGACAGTAATTTTCATTTTGGTGCTAATGATTTGTCGTCCAACGCTTTTCTCATGTAACTATCCATGTAACGTGCTTGATCTACTTGTATGTCGCTAATTTAATTTATAATATTACACTTTCTGTACATAGCTTTTTCGAGTCCCCCAGATACTCTAGGGGAAGACCCAACTTGTGCATCGAGTTCACGTTTACGGAATGCATGTACTCTATATCCCGCACTGATTGTTCCAGTAGTCTGGCGAAGTTAAAGAAGTCGTTTACTTAATAGGTGACAACGAGCTTGCATCCGAGTTCTAAGTGTTTTGTTCTTCATAGGTATAGTAAGATTTTCTCACACATAATCGAATTATGTTGGCCTCTTTGTTCTACCTCGACATGATACATGTCATTGGTGTCACAGTGCCCGCCGGTTGCGCTTACCGTCACCGTAATTCGGAGGTTATCCGTGAAGAAAACTATTTGAGGTCACCTTGCGATTTGCTCTCGCACCAGAATACTATTGCCCTGTGCCTTACAAAATGAAAGTTTCATCTGTACTTGTGAATAGCTTACATTAAAGCGATACATTCAGTTTTATCTTTGCCTACAGTATATCTTCCTGTGTCCAACTGCGGGTGATGGATTTTCTTTATCTCTCTCAGTTCTCTGGTTGTCGTAGAAAGTGCTATCTAGAAACACCTGGCTTGGTAGTACATTCAGAGATTACATCAAAATGATTCACAGCTGCACTCAGCCAGACAGCTATCACACATCCAGAAAAGCGCCGTTTTGTTCTACTGGGACTCGTCAGTAGCGCACACCCGCCGAATCCTGACGAATTAGAACCCATGACGTTACTCTTGCAAGCCAGTGGCTTGTGCCACTGAACCATGGGTGACGGCGGCTGACCGCCGCGCTTGATGTCCAGCTACGATATAGCGCGGCGCATCCTCCACTGGCAGATATGTTTTGAAACGTGCAGAGGACAGAGCTGCACTCCACAGCTACCCAAACCTGGCAACCTTGGTTGAAGCGCGACCTAGAGGCATTAGAGGCAGCACAACGAACACCAACAAAGAATGTAAAGGGCCTGCGCTCTCACTCTTACCACCGAAGGCTGAAATTGTCGGGAATTTTCAGCGGACGCTATCGAAAGCTGCGCGGCGATCTCATATTAGCGTATCAGATATTGAGTGAACCCAACCACTAAGCCGCCACTTACTGAATCTTAGCCACAACACGCAGCTCAGGGGTAACTGCTTAAAACTGAAGGAACAATATAGCCGTCTGGAGTGTCGACGTAATTACTTTTCCCTTCGGGGTTGCGAACCCTGGAATGCACTTCCAGACTCAATTGTATCCTTCCCTACACTGGACGTTTTCAAAAAACGACTAGATATTGCTCTTAGCTCCCAACACTGCTATCTAAACTCCTCAATTGTGGGTTACGCCAAACATGCTTTTCTACAGGATTTATGTATCAAATGGCCCCAAGTGAGGAACCATATTTTCCTTTTCTCACGCCTTCTATCAACGACCACTGCATCCCGGCGTATTTCTAAACGTTTGTGTTCGCTTTTTTAAATTTTATCCTGATGTTATTTATCAAAGTATTCATCTCGGCTGACGTTCGGTAGATGACCCACATATATTTTGATTTCGTCGTATTCACCCCAACTATCCTATGGGACGTGTCAAGCACTTGCTTTTATACCGTGATAAATCATTGTCCATTGTTCATTATTCATTGTTCCTTTGCAAGCCGCCACTAATGGAGGTGCCATGTGAGCTCCTAAGGCTATTACTACTTATTAGTGAGTACTAAGGAGTACTACGGAGTCCCAATAGTACGAAACGGACGTTCAGCACTTTTCTGGATGTGTGGTGGCTGTATGACGGAGTATAGCTGGGACGAATCGTCGCAAAAACACAATAAATCCCATTGCTACTAACTAATACCCCCACAACACTTCTACCAATATTACTCCAAACCTCTAGTCGTACCCACTGAGCTCAATGAGAAGCCATCGTGCCTTTTAGATAGATATTTAAAACCAGTTTGTGTGCTGAACTTGTCCTTTAACATCAGTGATTGCTAAGGGTAAAGCGACGGTTCTGTGCTCACAGAGACAACGTAGGCAATTTCTTAAATGCCTTGGTCCTGCATGTGCAATATGCATCAGTCAATACTGAAGCACATCGGTGCTATTAGGACTTTTACGTACAGATGCTTGTTTTTCATGCGTGCAATGTGTTGAGGCTACATGAAGGCTCAAACTGTTGATGTGCGGTAACTCAGAACTACTCCCTACTTCGAGAAATTTTCTACCCATAAAAACCGTGAAAAATCATGCGAGTTAGAAAGAGGAATCTAATATTAAATTCAAGAAACGCGTCGTATATGATCGCTGTAGTCTCTTTTACTACAATTTCCTTATAGCACAAAATACTTTTCGTATTGAATCAAGTTCCGGGGAGACAGAACAGATTTTCACGCTAATAGTTAGCATCATGGTTGCAACCATCATGATTTGTACGGTGACAACTCATCTGTTAGATGTTTAAACAATCGATTACTAGCAAACATAAGCTGCACAAAGAAGAGCAAGATTTGTAAAACTCTTGCAGGCTACGCAGTTTGTGTGCTGACCCTTTGACTTCCCTTCAAACCGCATGAAATACGGCTCACCTTTATGTACGACCTAATCAGATGGGCACATTTCATCGGTCAGCTACATTTCACAAGCTGGCTAAAATGACGGCTTACCAGCCATTAGAAAAATAAACACTTCGAATTTAGGCATATGAGAGTATGGGATAGCCAGAGAATATGAACACGCTGTTCTTGTACTCGGAAAGCAGGAAATACATGTATAATCCAAACCAAAATGTCGTAGAAACACTTTCTTAGGTGACGTGGTCATTTCGTGCTTTCTTGCCACTAGCGGACGTAAAACACTTTTGAGTAAAACAAGACGATGTCACAAGTGATTATACATGACCCAGCGTTTGCGCTACCAGAGTAGGCTTAGAGCCACAGTCAGCTGGTGGATGTATGCCATCGAAAACGATGGCCTCTAGTAGCCTAACCATGTGCAGCCGCGGACTGAGAATGACTCATCAGGATTGACCCAGGGACTGCTGATGCGGCTCGTTTTCCTGATTTCGTCGCCACAGATCCAATCCGGCTGCGTAACCCCTTGGGTATGTGTTCATTGCTTTGGACACTTAAACTTCGGTCTTGCGCCCAAGCTAGCCGTCTCCACAACCACGGATGCATTTGTGTAGACAATGAGACGCACTAACCCGTTGTGGCTGGCTTACTCGAACACGTAAGCATAGACCTAGTCAAGGTGAGTATCCGCAGCTCTGCTGTAGTATACGCTCTTTTCAGTGAAGCACTCATACGTTTCTCGGTGACCTTCATGATGTGGCCACTTTTGTAGTGCAACTCAAGGAAACTTGGCTGATTTAGGACTGTTGGCACACGACCTCGCTTGCTTGTCTCATTGAGGTGCTTAATAAACGGCAACAGATAACCAATGGATTGCAGTGTATCGAATCGCAAATCATTATCCGCTTCTATGGTGGTTAGAGTGCAGATCATCATGGTCCGATAAAACAGTGTCCTGAAGAGAGAGCTTTTGTGTTGGATGAGAAGACTCGTAGGATCATATACTGACGAGTCCAGTTTGGCTTTCTGTAGACAAAACTTCTGATGTAACCTTCCGGCCACCGTGTAAGCAGAACAATGAACAACGTTTTATGTCTGGTAAAAAAGCAGTTGATTGACAAGTGCCGCAGGATGGTTGAGGTAAAACTATACTTAGCAAATCTTAGGTGAGTTGTCTGTTCGGGCGTTTATCTAGCAGCTACGCTGCTGAATAATAGTACTGTAGGTGGGAACTGAATGCGAACGAGGAGACAAAAGGGGGAAAGTTAAAGTAAATGTACGCTGTGAGAAAAGTAAGAAGTTACAACGAGAATACTCACTTCTGTCCTGCATCCTCCGGTTTCGTAACATGTTAATCCGGTTTGGAGGGATAATTACTATATTCCATAGTAGCACAGTTTGGGCAACGAAGTGATAGGGGCCAAGGGCAATATCCAGTCTTTTTGAAATATCCAAGGTGGGGTAGGAAACCACGAAGTTTGGGAGAGAGTTCCAGGGTTGGCAAACACGAAGAGAAAAATAATTCCGCCGGCATTCCACGCTTCTTAACTGTGCATATAATTTCAGAGGGTTAACTCTGAGATTTGCGTTATGACTGCGTTTCAGCAAGTGATGGCATACGTGATTAGGGTAACACAATATTTGGTAGTCTAAGATGAGATCGTCGCCCAGCCTTCGGTAGCGGCCACTGAAAACTGCCAGTGACTTAAGCCTTTGATCGTAGGACAGATTTCCTAAGCCCTTGACGTTCTTTGTGACCCTGCGTTGTTGTTTCTCTGGCACTTATAAGTCGCGCTTCAACCAAGGTTGCCAAGCTTGCGTGGCGTATTCAACTTGAGGGCGAACGTAAAAATTGTTCATCATGGAAAAGATAGATGTGTCGAATCTTCCGAGTGCTCTGCGCAGCAAGCCCACGTGCTGGTTGGCTCTCTTCGCAGTGGCCTCTGACTGCTTTGAACAGCTAAGGTCAATTTGAATGAGCACACCAAGTACGTGTTCTTGGGAAGTTGTTTGCAATACATATGACCCAAGCCTATACACGTAGTCATGCCTATCCTGCAACTGAACAGCTTGGCATTTTTCCACATTGAACGGTAGTGTATTCGGGACTGACAAAGTTAAAATCGTGTTGCGGTTACGTTGGAGATTTTCATGGTCGTTCGGTTCTTTGATCGCTCGCTATAACTTGATATCATCCGCAAAGGATAGGAAATTGAAGTAATTTCCCTCGCCAGATAGTTTATGAAAATCAAGAATAGACGGGGCCCGAGCACCGAGCCTTGTAGTACGCCGCACTCCACCTCAATTGCGGCGGACAGGGATTTTCGTAATCTCACTTTCAACCGACGATCGTGCAGGAAATTGCCTTTCCAACGCAGCAGTGGCTCACCAGTGCCATAGAGCTGAAGTTTATGGAGGAAAATTCGGTGGTCTAATCGATCAAACGTTTTTGAGAAGTCCAAGTAAATGACATCAACTCCTGCTCCACCATCAACTGCTTCAGTCCAGCTGTTGCGTGCAATTAACAAGTTCGTAGTGCATGGGCGTTTTTGTCGGAAGCCATGTTGCTCTGGTGCTATCACTTTGTGATTTCCTAGGTGTTGCATGAGTGCATCAGAGGTGATAGACTCCCTAACCTCGGAAAGCACAGGGAGTAGCGTTATAGGACGATGATTGTTTGGGTCAGTGCGACTACTTCCCTTATGTATAGGAGTGATGACCCATCGCTTCCATATTGTTGGAATATGGTTCTCCTCCATATAGCGCTGATAGAATATAGCCAGAAGTTCCGCCAGATCACTGGTTGCTGCCTGTAAAGCCTTCGGTCGAATGTTATCGACACCAGGAGAGCTGTGGATACGCAGGGACAACAGTTACTTTGACACACTTTCTGCAGTAAAAATAATATTGGATAAGGCTGATGGTGGGAGAACAGAAACAAGGATAACCATTGAGCCTGTTGCTCTCTATAACGGTTGTGAGTAATGGAACCGTAAGAGATCGACTGCTTCCGTTGCTGAACGCGTGCCCCCGTCAGTCATGATCAGTGCTGGAATTCCGCGTTGCACCTTACGAAAGCCATTAACATGACCGTATAAGAGTTTGCGGTTCGTGCAGTATCTCATCACTAACTCCTGCTGATGCGTCAGTTTGTCCTCCCGGATCAAACTGGCACAGAAGTTACGCTGTTCCGTCTTTTCGTCAATCAAATGGAACGATAAGATAAAACTTAAGCGTTGCAAACCAAGTTTTATCGGACCAAGATGATCTGCACTCTAACCACCATAGAAGCAGATAATGATTTGCGATTCGATACACTGCAATCCATTGGTTATCTGTTGCAGTTTATTAAGCACCTCAATGAGACAAGCAAGCGAGGTCGTGTGCCAACAGTCTTAAATCAGCCAAGTTTCCTTGAGTTACACTACAAAAGTGACCACATCATGAAGGTCACCGCGAAACGTATGAGTGCTTCAGTGAAAAGAGCGTACAATACAACAGAGCTGAGGATACTCACCCTGACTAGATCTATGCTTACGTGTTCGAGTAAGACAGCCACAACGGGTTAGTGCATGTCCCATTGTCTACACAAATGCATCCGTGGTTGTGGAGACGGCTAGCTTGGGCGCAAGACCGAAGTTTAAGTGTCCAAAGCAATGAACACATACCCAAGGGGTTGCGCAGCCGGATGGGATCTGTGGTGACGAAATCCGGAAAACGAGCCGCATCAGCAGTCACGAGATTTATGCTTATCACCGGTCCCTGAATCAATCCTGATTAGTCTTCCTCAGTCCGCGGCCGCACATGGTTAGGCTACTAGAGGCCATGGTTATCGATAGCAAACATCCACCTCTGTGCACTCAAGAACAGTTGACTGCGGCTCTAAGCCTACGCTGATAGCACAAACGCTTGACTATGTACGCAAAAATGTTGCGTCTGTGCGGCTGATGAGATATCAAGTCATGACGACGCAATATCAGCAGCTACATGTTCAGCTTTTTATTGTTCCTTGTAACTGCTTATACTGATGCCCACTCAGCACAACGGCTGGTTGCACTTCCGTAGTTCAGCCTCAGGTTTTCATGACACCTTGGATGCTGTCACATGCAAGTTGCCGTTGGCTCCTCTATTTGTTGCTTGTATTTATGATTGTTTCCAAATCTACTTCGACGACTACAGGTTTCTACGAAGAACCTAGTTATTTTGACTGAGAAAGACGCTCGTTCTTGTACCTGCTCTTCCACAGAAGCGAGTTCCACCTAGGAAGGCTTCACCTTAAGGAACCGCGTCTGCCCGAAAAACCTAGTTAATCCAAAACAAGGTGTTTGATCGTAGTAGAAATGACAAAGAGACATGTATTGCTGTCAAATACAGCTAGGAATCCCAGCGTTGCTGAAAGAACGTTGAAATTTTATTAGACGTTCTGAAGGGAAGAATAACCTGGGACTGGTATGATTAGTATTTGTCGACCACACGGTCACAGATCAGTTAGCAGTAAAGCGACATCAGTAAGGAGTAGAGACAATAATGGAAAATTCCAAAAAGCCGTTAACTGTATTACTTTCGCTTGGATAAGTTGAGCTGACTAAATTCCGCACTTACTAATCAGTAAGGAGCTGGTGTGAAAAACTCACTCGTTCGAATCCAGCCTTCCATTTAGCCTGTAACACATCTATTGTAGGTGGTATTGGTCGGTGCACGCTGAAGGAGATTTTATCCAATACCTCTGTTAACAAAAGGCCGTTGAAGAATAGAAAAAGTTGGTCCGGTACTGTAAAAGCGAAAAGAAATATCTAGAATGAGCGAAGCTTATATGGTATTGAGACTGAGTCATAAACATTCACGGTGTAAGGGAAGTTTTATAAATATGGCGAACAAGGACGCGTTGACTAAGTATTGTAGTGACCATATATCATTCATGCATTCGGTATTTTGAGACATTAGATTTCACGCTTGTCTATATCTTCCGATCGTCCATTTGTTTTACTGATTGTACGTACCGATCACTTACTCCTCTGGTTAGTCCCGTTGCCATATCGCTGTCTGCTTCTAAAGATCTGCCTTCCATCTTCTGTAACTTTGGACAATACTCGTTGGGTCCAGACGTTCTAACTGTCCTCCCTACTTCCGTACCCGGCATGCCTCTTACGTGTCATCTCTTGCGATTAGCATCGGAGTAGCACACCCTACAAGTGATCAACCGCCGTGCTTGTCGGAATTTTTTCGTTGCTCCTGACTTTTCAAGTTTTCGGGTTTAAATTTTTTCACACATCGGCCTGGGTACCCTCATTCAATCGGGCTCGATCAGGCCTGCCCATTGCGTAAACTTTCTCGAGGGTACTATAAACGGGTGAACCTCAAACACCGGTTTTCAATTTTGGCTGTGTTTCAGCACAGTCGTTCGCCTACGGGTGTACCATTTTTCTGCCTTCATCAAGGTTTTTGGACTTATCGGAAAGCTTATTGCTAGGTCTACTTCAGGAGACCTAAATCAACCCTGTCGGTAGCTGCATAAGGCAACTAGAAACAATTATATCTTCGTACACTTCCTTGGTTGGCCAAGAGCTCTCAAGTCGCATTGTGAATCGAGTTTTATCGAATGCACGCAAATCTCTTTGTTTGGCCGGATTTGTGCGTGTGCGCCTGTTGGAAATTGCGGCATAACGTGACGCGGCACGCCATGAAATTGACCTCAGGGCTACCTGTGCACGGAGCGGTCGATTACTGAAGGACAATCTACCCTTGGCGGATTTTGGACAACTGAGCACTCTTACAACCGGTTGGTTTGTATCGATCGTTGCATCTGAAACCGTGGTCTGTTTGTACCCTTGTGATTCTCGTGCACTTTAGCTAGGTCGTATAAGCCTTAAATCCTAGTCTATTTCCATGGCGGTTTGCCGATAACTGTTTGATTTCTCTTGATCACTGTAACAGAATCGGTGAAATTTGTCCCCTATTCTTATCTTTCTCCACATGAAATAGTTTTTACAAACCCTAAAACCGAGTGACCAATCAGTAAAAATGCTCGTTACCTCAGCTAAAACAAGAAACTCAAAGAAGAGACAGGAAAACACTGAAACGCTGGCAAAATATCCTGCTTATAATCAGTCCGTCCGCACAGAAAAAATTAGAGGCTCATTACCTAAGATGAATATAAAGCAATGAAAAGCAATCAAATGATAGTTCACATAAGGTTTCTCAGATAGAGCACAGCGCAGTTACTGCAGAATCGCCTCTAAAGTGATCCAAACGATTGCTGCGCTTGAACTACAGCTGAAGGACTTGAAGGAAAGGTTTGAATCTCTGTACCAAGTTCTAGAGCAATTTGACTCGCTTAAGTATCTTTTTAATACTCCAGATAAACCAAAAATGGAACACCTTCGATTCGTTGGGAATTTTATACATGTTGCATTTGAGGTGCATGATCACATTAAACGCTCTAAAAATGCTATAGCATTTACTTTACCAGAAAAGTTATCACTTGAGGCTATCTCCTATGCAGTGGCAAACGATTGTCATATCGAAAGAGTGCAGTTTTCTTGCGTGAGGCTGCGAAAGAAATCACCGAAGCAGGTCTGTCCAGCACATTTTACATTTTCAGATGACACACTTGCTGAAAAATTTATTTGTAGTAGGAGCGCATTATCCCTTAGGAAATATTACATATCAATGGTCCTGAAACCAGACTTAACAGTACTACGAAGGGAGTGCAAGAAAGCTTATTTCCGACAGTCTGTTACCCATTTGTTCCGTTACCCACGGAAACGCAGGAAATTCCCAACCTGGTTGACCTAGATGACACTCTGACCATAAATGAATCAGCTCTAAGGTTGAAATCAAATAGCAACTATCATAAAAATATCGCGTCTGACTCCATTCAGTGTCGCAGTAGTCCGGCATTACTGCGCAAATCGTCCCCGAACATACAAGAAACTTCCATTGTGCAAACGACTATTTCTACTCACTCTTTGTCGTTCACCAACCAGGTGCATATACGCTCTGGTACGAAACTGAAAACCTCTCCTAAAAGATGTGAACCTCTAAAACTGCGGTACAGCCTTGTTGCAAAGAACACTGGTAGCAAAACCTCACGTGGAATCTATACGGGTGCTCCTAAGCACGATAAAGACAGAGCTATTTTAAACGTTCCACCAAACGCTGTCACCACTGAAAATCAGCAGACAGTCTGCATATCTCCAACCATGCCGCATTTGAATATGCGACCTGTGCGCTCCATAACTTGTGAGCCACTAGCTAGTGAACTTCAAGTAGCTGAGAGAAACTGGCACAACCAAAATCCTCTCAAACTACCTCAACATGTAAGTAATCTTAACTGGCAGGTAGGTTATATGAAACAGCGAGCAAACTGCAATCTCCCACTGGCTCACCATTTTCCCAGTATTTCACCCTTCCAACCTTTTTGGGGGGGTCCAGTGGCGTTCTACCCGCCACACCCCCAAATGACACTAATTCCGCAAATTATATGTCCTCCGTATCCACCACCCCCACTCCACTCTCTCCAAATACCACCTCGTTGGGGTCCTGTACCTGGATTCCTGTAGACAACCCAACGGACAACAAGACACTGCACTTACTTTTAATTAATTCCCGTTCACTGTTAAATAAAATGCACTTCCTGCGTAATATCCTTCACCTTTCTTCTCCTGATATAGTACTAATTACAGAAACATGGTGTTCATCAGAGATGTCTGACACATTGTTCAAGTTACTGGGTTATAACATCTTTTGTAATGACCGCCTTTATGGTAGAGGTGGTGGCTGTATAATTTATGTCAAAGACAAATAATTGGTTCTTCCTCTGAATGAACCATTCCTCCAGAGACTTCCTGATTCGGTGTAGATTACCATTTCTAGTTATCCAACAAATCTCTTAGTAGGTTGTATTTACAGACCCCCATCATCTGCACTCACCGTAACTGATGACTTATTGGGCACATTTTCTTTAATTGCTGACCTCTCATACACTAACAAAATAATCGCTGGGAACTTTAATGTACCCGAAATCCCATGCTCTCTTAAAAAATAAACCACAAAAGCACAATACTTGGTCGACTGGGATGGGTACAGCACGTCAAAGAACCTACACAGCTTGGTAACACACTTGATCTAATATTTACTATGGGATGTTCGCAGGTGTCCACATACATCAGTGACAAGTTGCCGGGTAGTGATCATAACATCGTTGGTTGTTCTTTCCAAATTCTTTCTAAACCGATAGAATCAATGATCAATTACCGTCCATTCTCTTCTGTGAATTGGTCAATTTTCTCGGATCTTATAAGGTCTTCATATTGGGATCCATTCTTCTTAGCACAGAATGTACAAATTGCTTGTAATGAATTCTACCACCGCATTCAGCTTTGTGGTGAAGCTGTGGCTCCAGAACGTACCAAGAAGTTGAAAAGGACTGCTGCACCTGCAGGCATCTCAAAAAGGTAGCCACTAAACTTCATAAAATAAAGAAAAAATTGAGGAAAACAAACGATTTTACTCTGCTGATGCTCCACACCAGATTGCTTACAGCGTTATACCAAGACCATCACAAAATGTTATGCTCTGAGGAAGTAATGGCACTGAAGGGCGCCAACGTGGTAGGCTGCATCTCAAAACTTTTGGACCGTAGGCAGAAGAGAAAATCAAGTTGTATAAACACCATTGTAAACTCTGATGGAACTGCCATAACCGAACGTGCAATCATATGTTCGATCTTCAATGACTACTTCATGTCTACTTATAGCACTAATGCGAAGGAAGGTCCTCAGCTCAAGCTGATACACAGAGGCAGTAATACACTCCAAACTGTTGAATTTACACTTAGTGACATATGTCGCCAACTCAGATTAGTTCAGCCATCATGTTCACCATACCCTGACAACATCCCGCCAATTCTGGTCAAGCACGGAGGTCCAGACATCCCCCTATTTTTGCTTAATTTATTTACACTTTCCGTGCTCAATGGGGTATCCTATACACTGGAAACAATCAACTATAATACCACGACATAAAAGCGGATCTATGTAAGATGTAAAATATTACCGCCCAATCCACCACACATCTATTATGTCCAGAATCATGGAGAGGTTAGTTAAAGAACGCATAATAGAATATTTGAGTTCTATGAGCCCTCTCAGTAAACACCAGCACGGTTTTTTGAAAGGTAGTTCGTGCACTACCTGTCAGTTAGATTAGCATGATTATGTCACTAGAGCAAAAGATGCCGGAAGTGCCATCATGGAAATATTTCGTGACATCCAAAAGGCTTTTGACCGTGTCCCACACAATTTATTGTTGCGGAAGCTTATGAAGCTTATGGTATCACAAATTCGCTTCTAGATTGGTTGTCTTCCTACCTCGAGGGTAGAAAGTAAGTAGTCAAAATCGGTAACTATACATCTGAAGCCACTACCATCTCTAGTGGAGTGATTCAAGGTAGCGTGCTAGGCCCGCTTTTATTCTTAATCTATTTCAACGATCTCCTCGACGAAATCTCGTACGGGAAGCCGTTCCTTTTCGCTGATGATGTTAAAATTGTGTATTGTTCCGCCCCTGGGCAATGTAGTCCTAACTTAGCCTATATTCAGTCTGACTTGTCCGCATTGGAGCACTGGAGTAACTCCTGGAAGTTGCACTTTGCCACTGACAAGAGTAATCTATTGTACCACGGCTGTGGCCCTTCTCTGAACATCCTTACATTAAACGATACCCCTATTCCTGTGTGTGGCGCAGTCCGAGACCTTGGTCTAAGATATT